TGCAAAAAAGCGTTCCTACTAGGGATCTGACATGAGGCTATGTTATTCTAGGTTTAAAAACTTGGGTGTATTATTCTAGACCTAGCTTACCCGAGCGGACAACTCGAGTCGAGGGGGGCAGCGTACCGGGAATACAGAAGCTTCACCGGCTTTGCAACTTGTCCGAACCTCGCTCTAACATTTGGATATGACTCTAACAGAAAAGAAGTTACAAGAAGTGCACACTTCCTAGATGATTTAGAAGACTCAGGGAGAAGAAGGGTTTCGTAACAATTATATACAGTCCAAACAATATCAAAGCGGTAAAAAGTGGCATTTAACACATTAGGCTTAAATATGTAAAAATAATATAATAAATAAAAGCCAACTATAACAGTTATTCAAAGCTCGAATTCTGAACCTTGAACCAGAAGTTCTGGGTTCTTATCCCCAGCGGAGTCGCCAGAGTTGCCACACCTCCTTTTTTACCACCCAAGAGGGGGTATAAGGGAGTTTTTCCAATTTAAGTGACATTATTCGAAATGGGATTATTTTATTTTTATTTTTTTTCAGAGTCGCCACTTGGAATAGTTTATTTGGTGTCCCAAGTCATCGGTTTATTTTAAAATCCCAAATCGAGGAAATTTCGACTTTATTTAAAAGTTTGCAAAACCAAAAATTCTAAGGAATTATGTTAACCCGGAAGAAGGTGTTAGGCATTTTCGAATCCCGTGGTTCTAGAACGGTCGCTTAAACTATTAATATTGGCATATTATCTGATTTACTACATGTACCTACGTGCATTTTTAACTTTTTAAACCGCTTTTAATATTTCAGGAAAATTCAAGGTTATTTAAAACAAACCGTAAGCCACGCTACATGAAATGCACCCACGGTTCACGACACATCCTATTTAACCTTGTTGAAAATTGAAGTCGGATCACATGAAATGAACACCCGGATTTATAACATATTTATCTTATTATTATTATTATTATTCAAAATTATGGCAGGGTCACATGAAATGCACACCCGAGCCCCTTTAATCTAATTTGACATAGTTCAGTTGATGAATAGCAACCCAATTTCTATACTGTGACAAAATCATGTTCAGCTATAACCAATTCGAGTAGCATGCGAGCAGATAACTACATGAACAACTTTTAAAATCATAGTCACCAATTAAACAAATCAC